AATTGATTCCCTCAGATTTTAACAAATGTTGACCTTATGCTGCGAATCCCTTGCAAATATTTAAATTTCATCTATTAATTTACTTTCCGTAGGATGAAGATGAGATAGATGCAAGTATTCGGGAAGTGAACAAAATACTGGGACCCCTACCTGTCGTCAATGGGGCAATGAATACAGGTGAAATGTCAATTACCATGGAAACGCGTTCTTTGCTAAGCATCGAGCACAGATATTTAAATCCCGAAAATGAGATGCGAAGAATATTTGGATCACAAGTTGTGAGGGCAGAACAAAGGTTGGTTTTCTAATATCTGTCCAGACTATCAAATTTTATTTGACAAAACATGTGACACACCAATATGTGATCACGTTGACATGACATTATGACCATATATGGGCACATCATGACCATATATGGGCACATCATGACTATATATGGGTTTTTGTTTTTGGATGTTTTAATACTGCACTTTTTAAATACTGTATATTTGATTAGACTAATCTAAACTTTGTGTTTTCCTGAAATAATATACCATATTTATTTGAATAAACGGCCCGAGGCATTTATTGTTGAGAAGGGTTTTTGAGGGGATGTTTATTTGAGCAAGGCATGTTTTTTTTTTTTTTTTTTTTTTGTGTAAAAAGGATATGTTAATGCTCAAATAAACGTCCCTTAATTTCAGTGTAAATGTGGAACTACCAAAATGTGTTATTATGGTAGTCAATTTGGCTTCTATATAGATCCGATCAGAGTGTCCCATCCATGTCACTATTTGGATTTATTCGTTTTGGTTCAACCCATGTTGCTCTCTGTGCCATCTGGTGTTTGAACATTGTGTTTGTTGTAAACATAATATTGCTTCTGTTACATGTTTCCAAAGCACACTGCCATAACTATTTATTTTCTCTTTTCCATACAAAGAATATGAATATTTATTCTATCTTTTTAGACGAAAAGAACGAAGAAAGAATGCAAATAAATCTGGGTGGTTAGTTTCACCAAGACCTAACTGGGCTCATATAGGAAAAACAGGTATACACTTGTATTATCATCATACAATAAAGCTGTGGTAACTAAAACCAGCTTGATTTGTACAATGGAAATGTTGTCATTTTGTATATTGCAATTATAAAAATTTTTATATTACTCATCATCCTTCAAATTTGTGATATATTTTGCTTTTATAGGTTTATCCATGTCACTGGCAGACAATAAAGATGGGTATGTAAATCCATTAATATTTATAAATTATCACTTATTACTATTATTTATCATCATCATTTATTATCATTATCATTTTCAATTATTATTTTCATAATCATTATATATTTTCATTTTCATTTATTATTATTATCATTTATATATTTAATTATACCGAAAGGTCAACTGATTAATCTCAGATAAGATAGTATAATGCATACTCCAAGTATCGAAATGGACACCACGATGGCGTGCATTTCGATAGTTGGAGTATGCATATTTAATTATCGTAGTATAATTATCATGTTAGTGTGCATTCATGATATTGTTTTATATTTTTGACTAGATACCAGTATTTTCATTTTGAACATTCTAAAGATTATCAGAAAGTTGAATTCCAATTTCTTGATGCAGTTGAGTCACACAATCCAGCTAACCTAATTGTAAGTATATGTTATTATTTTGTTTATTGCCAAACGCATTTGGCTACTGTACTATTGATGTGTTCTTTAATGGCCATTGGTCCTTGATCATCCATGGTACATTATCTCAATTGGTAAGGTTCCTGATATTACATGGTAGCTATCGGTATGTCCCTGGTGTTTTGTAATCGCTGGAGGTGGTCCAAGGATCCTTGTAGTGCATGACCTCCTGTGGTCTATGACTTCCTGTGATCCATAGCCTCCTGTGGTCCATGGCCTCCTGTGGCTCATGGTATATCATGGCCTCCTGTGGTCCATAGCCTCTTGTGGCTCATGGAATTCCATGGCCTTCTGTGGTTCATGGCTTCCTGTGATCCATGACCTCATGTGGTTCATGGCCTCCTGTGGTACATGGCCTCCTGTGGCTCATGACATCCCATGGCCTCCTGCGATCCATGACCTCATGTGGTTCATGGCCTCCTATAGCCAATGACCTCTTGTGGTTCATGACCTCTTGTGGCACATGGTATCCTGTGGTTCGTGGCTTCTTGTGATTCATGGTCCCTGTGTATTCAATGGTCTCAGTGGTCCATGGTCTCTTAAGTTCATGATCCCTGTGAGTCCATTGGTCTCTGTGTTTCATGGTCTCTTATACTGTAGTTCATGGGCTGTGAGTCTATTGGTCTCTCATAGTTCTTGGGCCGTGAAGGGCCATGTTCTTGAATAGCAGGTACTGTGGTAAAATCAAACAGTTAACAATCAGTGGCAACCTCTTCAATATCCTGATGACTGATTTTTCCATACGTTTATTCATTATAGTCTTTGGTGAATTTACATCCATATCATATCAACAGTTTACTACAGCTAAGTGAAGTGTGTAAGATGTCAGAAGACATACAAATGGCTACTGAACTAATAGGTAAGCCATGTTCATATACATTCATTTGCTTGTTTACAGTTTACTTGCAATTTAAAGCCGGACACTTTTTAAAGCTGTGTGAATTTCTATACTTATTTCATCTGTATAATAATTATTACAGCATATTTATTTCATCTGTGTATATATATATTTTTAGAAAAAGCTTTATACTGTATGGAAAGTAGCTTTCACACCCTATTCAACATAGCCCAAGGCAGTTGTCGCTTAGACTACAGGAGACCTGAGAACCGAGCATTGTACCTTGCCCTCTTCCGCCACCTGGTGTACGTGGGGAATAAAGGCTGCTACAGGACTGCCCTAGAATTATGCAAGCTTGTGCTTAGGTAAGTCACTTAAGTATATAATAATTCAATTATTGAATTTGATTTTTCAAGTTTTATGTTTAATTTTATAAGAATGTGTATAATAATGCATTTTGTTTTGTTAATCAAGTAATTTTTCATCTTTTATAGTTTTGATCCAAATGGAGATCCGATGTGTGTGTTATTAATGATGGACTTTTATGCAATACGATCAGAGCAATATCAGTACCTGATAAGATTATTCAATGAGTGGGAGGTAAGTGAACAAATGAAAAGAATTCAATCCCTTCAAAGAGTTATTCCGAAAGGTTTTGGCTGAAAGAATAAAATAAATTTTATACAAAGAGTTAGCATCTACCAGTAATGCTACTTCTGCATATGGAGTGGAGCTGTAGCCTGGTGGTTATGGTCTGAAATCCTGTGAGAAACAAATAAAAAATTAACATCACCTTCTAAACCTCAAAAACAGACTTAGTTTAATGAGTAGTGTCCCATACTGTAATTGGTCAAGGGATATAGGGCATATCATTGTGGGCGGGGCTAGGCCCCACAAAAAAAAAAAAGAAAAAAAAAATAAATAAATAAAAATAAAAAGGAGAAAGATGTGTGCACGGTACTAATTTTAGATTGAAAATTCCATTTACCAAAGTGGTGAAGCATCTCTGAATGAAAAACTCAAGCACCAAGGCCCCCACCCTCGGTGCTTCATGCATCACATATCCCCTACCCTGACTTTTTTTCTGGACCCGCCCCTGTTGGCAATCCAATCAATCAAATCCAAGTCATTTATAAAGTGCCTTTCTTTACAGATACGAAGCGCTGCAAAGTGTATGGAAAGCCAAAAGAATGAATTAAGTAATCAAAAACAAAATGAAGAGTATATACAGTACGATATTCAAAAATAATCGTTTCTTTTTAAATGTTTTCTTTTTTCTTTGTTTTCTTACAGTCCCACAAGAACCTATCACAACTACCAAATTTTGCCTTTTCAGTCGCTTTAGCACATTTCCATAGCAATGAAGATGGAGGGAAGAAAGCCAATGTGTTACTACAAGAGGCCTTGATAATGTTCCCATCTGTAAGTCAAAATGTAGATCCTTCTTTTATACAACACGTAGAATAAGCTGCCGTAAGATATGCAATGAAAACTAAAAAAAAAAAACCCTCTGAAATTGTTGCTGTACTCATGGTTGATGCCTTGTGCCTTTTTATGTTTGAGTGTTTTGTCTAACCATTTGTCTTTATTCAGAAATTATTATTGTGTGATATTGTAGGTTTGCACTACCGTTTTAAGTCCTTTTAGATTCGGATGTATGGGGTGCTAGCACTTTGCATATTCAAAAATATATCTATAAAGATTGACTAATACCCCATTCAGACTAGCATCGCATTGCGATCGGTTGTAGCAACTGCGACACCTAATCGCACCAAATCGCAAAGTAAAATCGTGTGTGAAAGCTCACCAATAGTAGTCGATATATAATCGATATCGCAATTGTTACCCGTTGCGATTGGGTGCTACAATCTTTAATTCTCCTGATTACCACGGAATCCAATCGCAACGAATCACAATGAATTCTACAGGCGCTGTTTGACTGTGGTCATTCGACATAAGCCTAGCCACCGGAGGCCTAGGCCCCAGAATGTAAAGGTTGTTTGTGTTGGTCTGAATGCGTTCGTTGATTGCGATCGAGAGTAATCAGTTTTGGATTACCACTGATTACATCGCAACCGATCGCAACAGAGTGTAGTCTGAATAGGGTATTAGTCTCTCATTAAGTTCTATGATCTTTGTGCTATATACATACTTAAAAAAATAATTATGTACTCAAACAATTATTTTTTTTCTTTATCTTAGGTTCTTCTTAGTTTGTTAGATAAGTGTTCAGTTCAACCTGACTCGGTGGTAGCTAACCATCCATTTTTTTCACCTTCAAAGAATGCAAGGTAAATAATAATGCAAGAAAATGTTGATACACAATTTGATTGTTCCATCTCATACAATTTTGGCAGTGGGGTTCAGTGGCATATGTGGTGGGGGGGGGGGGGGGGGCCCCTCCCCCCCAACTAAATCCG